CTTGTGAACGGGTGGAGTGTAGGAAGAGAGATTTTTGCAGTCAAACATTCGAATATTTGTCTTGTTCAAATATTTGCTATTTTTCAAAGCATCTTCACCTCGATCAGTAAAATCATTGTAGGACATTTCCAACTCGTTGAGATTTTGTAAATATTCGCTGGACGCAACACTAAATGCACCGTCGTCTGCAATCGAATTAAATCCCAGATCTAACTTGGTGAGATTTTTCAAATATTCACACGAGGCAATACTGTTCGCGCCTGTATCTCCTATTCTATTGCAATACAAGTTCAATTCTTTCAGTTTAGAAAAGAGCACTATTGGAGGCCAATTTTGAAGCAAATAATCCTCCAAGAGAATTGTTCCTCAAGGAGAGAAACGTCAAATTGTTCATGTGTGGACTTGTGACAATGGCAATGCCTCCTTCTTCCTCAATTTCTGAAAATCCCAAATTTAAACAAGTCAAATTCGATAAATTTGCAGCAATTAGCATGGCACCAGATTTCCCAACCTTATTAGACGAAAGATTTAAACTTGTCAATTTCGGAGCATGTTCATTCTCAAGCAATGCCAATGTCCCTTCCTGACCAATCGAGTTCGATTCCAAATTCAGTATTGTTAAATTGCACATCTGAGGACTTTTCGCAATGGCTATGGCACCACTGTCTTGAATTTGCCCAAGTAGTAATTGTAATTCGGTAAGTTTAGAATTTCCATTTGCGAGATAATGTGCAGCTTGAGGTCCAATTCTTGAATAACCAAGATCGAGAACTTGTAAATGACTCATGAACTTGCTATTTGCAAGAGCTTGTACTCCCTCTGCACTCACATTATTTCCATACAAACGTAATTCTCTCAGGTTTGACATGTTTGCACTATTAGACAATACTTTCATTCCAACATCCGAAATGTTACAATTACTGGCACTTAAAATTTCCAAATGAATCAATTTGGTGGATGACGCAATCACTTTGAATGCACCATCTCTCAAATTATAATTAAATTCAATTCTTTCAAATTCACTTTGCACAACTTTCTCAATCACACTCGTTTTTTCAATCGATCTTTGACTCAAATTCAATGAAGTAATATTCATGGCATGATCTTTACATTTTGACATTAATTTCAGAGTGCGTTCCAAAGATTGACGACCCAAATTTAGAGATATAGGAATTTGTCGGGCCATGACATTCCATTGCTTGGAAACAAGAAAACAATTCTTGATCGTTTCAAACTGCAAAAAGGATAAAATATGAAGGCAAACATCATCGGGAAAGCAGCTCGGTCCGTAGGAAAAGGTTGTGGTGGACGTTGATGACGAAGATTGAGAGAGGCCCATTTTTTTGTGTTTTCTGAGAGCGAGTTTTTGGAAGAAGTTCCATGTTCTCAGCTCTGTTCGCAATGAGTCATGACATATTTGAATGAATTCATTTCTTTGCTTCTAATAAGCAATATTAATTATTATAATACAATCATTAATAATTTATTCTCTCTTTGAAAAATAGTATGTACAAAAAACCGGTTCCAAAATTGATAATTCTATTGACATTGTCGTCATGTAATTATTGATGACCTTAATACTGTCACAGGTTCACCAAGATTAACAATGTAAATTGTTTCGTTGTAAAGGATAATTCAAAAAAGATTAAAGAGATGAAGTGCCCTCAAAAAAAGGAAAAGGAGAAAAAAAGGCTACAGCACTGCAGGTTCCCAAGTTGTCTCCAACCTCAGTACTGATGCAGCTCGACGATGCTTAACTTCTCAAATCGGACGGGATGAGGTGCATTCATCGTGATATGGCCGTAGCCATCCCTAATCTTAAATTGCTTCTTTTCATCACTCTTCGTCTAGCAGAAAATCTTGTGTTGTTTGATTCAATTCAATTGAACCTCTTATATAATATTGGTGATTAATGAGAAGTTGCAAGAGCTGAAAAAGAAGTGTCATTCTCTTCCATGGTGGGAGTACCATGATCAACTGAGTTTTGGAAAATTTCATCCTGCAATTGTAAGAGTTGCCTCTCAAAGCCACAATTAGGTTGTACAATGGTTCTCTTCGATTTCACAAAATTCAGAGCATACTCAAAGGTCCATGAGTTCTTCTTCATCAAATAGGCAATGAGAATGGAAGCAGAACGAGATTTTCCTTTCATGCAATGTACCAAAACGTTGTGGCCTGAGGTGATGGCATGATCAATAAAGTCGAAGGAAACTCCAAACATTTCCACAATGTTCTCGTCTTCCTCGTCATAGAGATGTAAATTCAAATATTGATAACCCTTCTCTGGATAGATGGGTTCCAAAGATTTGACACATGTCACAATGTGTGAAATATTGTGTTCTTTCAATCCCTGATCGTTGAATGCATCATCAATGTCTCCTAACCACAATTGATTGGTTATTTTAGTTGCATCAAAATGAGTATCCTTAGTTTGTGGTATCAAGTATCTTGCCTGTTGATTCAACTTGTAGTAATATTTGAGGGCTTTTCGTGTCAGAAAAGCTCCAAACTTGTCAGGTGATTGAGTCAAATACGATTGCACCTTTCTTCGATGTTTGTCTTTGATGGACTCAACTGGACTTGTCAAATGAGGAGTGAGTTCAGAACAAGAGGAGGACATGGAGGATGAACCAATTTCGGGAGTGAGAGTAGTTTGAACTCGTGACCCCCAAGGTGACGACACCATTGAAGGTGTGTTGCAACTCGTAGTATTTGAACAAGAAAAGGCAGTTAAAGAAGGACTGCTGTGACAATATCTCAAACTCAATCCCAATTCAAACATGCTTATAAATTTACGTTTGAGATTTGTGTAACGAATGGGTTGTTGAGTAGTCAATTGTTCCAATTTTTCAATCTTTTCCAATTTCTTTTCTAATCTCTCAATGGCACTATATAAATTACTTTCAAAAGTTTCTTCATCCATCATCATCATGTTGGAAACAGCTCCACTCGAAACCATTTCATCCATCACAAGAGCATTGTATTCCTTCTTGATAGAATGCAACAATTCTGGATGGTGATTGTCTTGATCCAACATCATCATTCTCGAACAAAATTCTTCTTCGGATGCGGCATTCATCATGTCATTGAGGGGAGATGACATGACTTGGATACAATGCTCTTCTTGTGATGGAGAACTGCTGCTACAACCAACATCAATATCATCACCACTGTCATCACCACCAAGACCACCACGAACAGAACTTGTAATGACACGAGAATGATGATTCACATTGCCAGTAGTAGCACGACGTCGAGAAAATGTTTCAATGGTTGGTGGAAATTCATGAAGAGGTGAATCATTAGAAAGTGCAGGATCCTTGCATGAACAAGTGTTGTTCGACAATAATTCTTGTTGTTGATTATTTGACACTCTGCTGCATGTCAAATTCTGAGAAGTGGCAGCAATGGGAGCAGGTGACAAGTCGACCCGTGCGTCGTCATGATTCATACAATTTCGATGAAATCTGTTTGGAGAGGTGTTGGTTGTGTTGCAGAACATTTCTTGGTGATGATAAGGAGATGACGATGAGTGACAGCAGTAACCACAGCATGTACTCAATTCTTCTTTTTCTTCGTCGTCATCATCAACAGTGTTGGTTGGAGTGACCATGGTCGTCGTGGTTGAGAATCGATTCGTGTTGTCGTTATCATGATAATGATGCTTTTCAGGCTCCTCCACAAGCAATTTTACTCGTTTTCGAGAGGTACTGGATGTGGGAAATTGAGGACATGATAAACAACGTCGTGAATTCACGACCTTAGAGGAGATGGATTTCTTTCGGGTGAGATTCGGAGTTGTTGTTGTTGCGACGACAGGGGAAAGTGGTGTTGAGAGGATTGTTGGAGATGATGACCATTCAACACTCATCGTGACCTATTAGTAGTAGTAGAAGACTCGATTGTGAGTTTGTAAAATCGAATTGTAAATAATTGATAAGGGACGTCCGTGTGTTGCTTGAGGCTTGCTGAGGGTCGTGCGTGACAAATGCGAACAAGAGGCACAAAAACTTTGAGAATTTGTCGTTGGCTATTTTACCATGCGCACAAAAAAAGAAGTCGGAAGTTGAAAAAATTGAGAGTCGAATCGTGTGGTGTGATATAAATAGCGACGGAAGCGAGCCTTGGAAAGTTGAAGTTTTACAACACTTTCGATTTTGGGGTATTTTTTTTTAATTTGAAATTTTTATCTCGGAGGACTTGGTCCCGCAAATGTGAGTGCGAGATTCAAATAGGCGACCATAAAAAGATCTTGCAGACAACAGCTGGGACTTGTCAATAAAGTATTTGCACTAAAGTTGATGTTGATATTGACAACTGGTGAGGCTCTCATCATGACCAATGAGGTATATGTTTGAAGAATGTGTACTTAAAAATTGAGAACACCTCTGTTACCCAAGCTCTTTGTAGGGATGAAACAACGAACTATTGACAAATATCAAGCTCGTTCATCAAGTTTCTATATACATATGGTCGAGCAGTAATGGTGAAACTATTCATTCATCTTGCGTCAATATTGAGAACAATCCTGATTATATTCATGGGACGAACATGGAGAGGTTGGAATTTTGCTTTGTTTTCGTCTCTTCTTTTCGAAGAGAGCTTGGCCATTCGTTTGAGTGACTTCACTCATATATTGATTTGCCTTCTCCATTAGGCGATCCAAGGAATGTTTTCGAAGGTCAAGTTTAAGAAAGTTCCAAACTGGAATTTCCTTCGATTGTGAGTCATGCGAAATGGGAAGCGACAGAAAAATCACATTCACTTGATGTCCATACTTTGAATAGGATCTGATAGAATACAAACATATCTCTCTAATTCCATAAAATTGAAGAGTTCAGACAACTTACAACATGTACTCTCTCAAAATTTCTGACAAACATCCATACGAAAGGGGCTTGTAATATAAATCTTCCTTTCTCGATAATCCGAGTGCTCCATACTTGGATTTAAATCGAACCACGAGAACAATGTGTCTGTAAATTGCTCGTGTCGCTGTCATTTCAGTCTCGAAAAATACGCTGAAACGTTCCACATCTTCCAATTCTTGTGTGAAATAGATGGCAAGAAAGGTTCCCTCGACGCATCTTATCGGAAGACAATCATTGATAATTTCTTTTGCTGTGGAAATGATGCTTTTCAGAGGTCTCAGTCTTGTAATATCAAAGAAATGTTGGTCAATATAGTTATATTCAAATGAATTGATGAAATTTTGAATTTTGACCAATTTTGTGAACATGCTTTGGTTTCTGTCAGACAAATCGGGAACTTTGGGTCTAGGAATTTCTGGTAAATATTTACAGCTGTTGGAGAGGTCTTTGAAGGGGTTTATGAGTAGTTCTTTGTGTACAGTCAGATCATGATTGCTACCGCTATGATTACTGACAGAAGAGGACGACGACTGGTTACTCTCTTTGAAAAGAAGACTAGTCAGCAGTGAGTGACTATCGGCAGTCCAATGAGTAGAACTACTATCTAATTCTTCCACTTCTCCGAGTTGTGGTCGTGACTCTTGTTGTATCGACGTACGAGTAGAATGAGTTAGTGACGACAGAGAGCGTCTTTGTTTGGCTGAAGTCACAAGTTGTTGCTTTTCAAATAATTGTTGGTGATTGAAGTGTGGTAAGGAAGAAGAATCCGCCACATGGCGATTGGAGGGAGAATGATTGCTACGACATTTACAATCGATATTGAAGGTTTTAGTAGTTGGAACAGTGCCTGTCGTTTCTGTTCGTGATTTTGTTCCTGTCGAGAATGACTTGCGAGATTTTGAGCTACCACCATTGGTAGGAGCTTGGCGATCGTTGATCTTTTTTGGAGGAGTGAATGAGCAACGCAATGAAGACCTACTCGATGGTTGCTGCTCTCTTTGGCGTGATGATTTTGTTGGAGAGTTGATGTTGTTGCTACAATTAGACATACCAATTTTCGGAAGGTAATTATTGTTACTTGAAGATTGAATGGGTGATGAAATTTGAAGTGTCTTTGGTCTCAAATTTGTAGAAGAATGAGTACCATGTACATTTGTTGTGGTCGGTACGGACGAATGATTGAATGGCGAGAGTGATACTCCTTTCGGGGTCTTGTTGCTTCCCGATTGAGGAACGATCATTTTTGCATTTTTTTTTCCTTATTGAAATCTCTCCCATTATTATTTACTGCCCCATCATCACCTTGTCACAACAGTTTATTCAATGAGGAATCATGATACAAAGAAATAGAACCCGCATAGATGATGATCCTCACATTGTGTGGTTCCACACTCAATATATTACATGGTGATATTTTCAATGGGAGTGGATTCAAGGATTTGTTTGGCGATCGTTGGTTTTTCTGATTCCTCAATAAGGTTATATTCAAGAATGAGATTCTTGACAGAAGTCTTACTCTCGAGATTTTGCAAAAATTCTGTGATTCCTTCTTTGGTAATTTCATTCTCTGAGAGATCCAATGTTTCAAGGGATGTGTTGGTCTTTAATGCGAGACCCATCTTTTCGAAAATGGCATCATTGATTTTGAGATTTCTTAAATCAAGAATTTTGATTTGTGTTTTGGATAGGAAAGCCTCCAATCCTTTAAGGCCTTCTTTTGGATCGTTTTCAGCCAAATGCAACTCCTCGACATATTGGTTACTTGTTGCAGCTGAAATAATGTCAAGGAATGCACTGGATTTGAGGCCACAATTGGTAAAATCCAATATTTTGGTCTGGAATTTTCTGATGGTCTCTCCCCAATTTTCGTGAATAGCTCCATTTTTTGTGATGTTATTGTAGGAAATATCCAGTTTGACCAAAGTCTTGTTAGATCTCAAAGACTCGGCCACGATTTCTCCATATGCAAAATCCAATTGATTTTCGCGAAGGATTAATTCTCTTAGACCGGAATTGGGTTGAGCCAAGAACAGGAGAGTCTCTCTAACTGTATTCTTATCCGCTCCTTTGCCAAGGTTATTTCTTGACAAGTCCAAAATTTCCAATGATAGATTTGTTCGACACGCTCTTCCAATTTTAAGGAAAACCTCAGGAGTTAACTTGGCATCATACAATACAAGTTCCTTAATGTTGTGATTCACTTCGAGGAGAGCAGCTACTTTCAACCCTCCTTTGGTTCCAAGAGGCATTCCTGCCAGATTCAGTTTTTGAACTCTCTTATTATTTTCCAAAGATTTCAATAGTACCTCAATTCCTTTTTGATCAATGTTTGTATTATACGAAAGATCTAACTCGGCTATTGAAAGATTGCCGCTTAGGAATTTTCCGAATTCAGCCATGTTTTGACCATTGAACTCGTTTTTCCCCAAATTGAGAATGGTTAAATTCTTTTTCCATTTCAATGATTCGTAGAGGGTTTGTAAACCCTTATTTCCAATCATACAATTGAAGAGACCGATACTCCTGATATCTGCAGCTATGGTCAATGTTTGTGCGAGCTCCACAGCACCATCATCGCCGAGAATATTGTCGGACAGATCTAAATTTTTGAGCCTCTTCAATTGTCTCAACAAGTCTAAAATACATCCTAGTCCCACTTTAACACTATTTCCTCCCAAATTAATTGATTCCAATTCCATATTCTCCTTCCAAGGGAAATTTCTTTCTGGTTTGTATTCCAGAGCTTTGAGGAGTGATTTTGTGAAAAATGTGATATTATTGTCAGTAATGCTACTAAATGAAAGATCTACATCCTTGTAAATCTCGTCATTGTCAATGCATTTATCTATGGCTTGACAGAATTTACGAACAGGAACTTCCTTGCCAAGCGCACAGCACTCCATATAGTAACCTTTCAAATACTCGAGCCGGCTTCCAAAACGACCAAGGAACGTTCTTTGAACAGGATCCAAATAGAGTGATGAGTCGTTCAATAGGAAAGGCTTTACAGTTGGACATGTTACGTGTGAGTTTTCAAGAGAAAGCACCAATAGTCAATCAAGAGAATGGACATCAACCAGTCAATGGGGCATTGTACGAAACATGAATTTGCAATTTCGTGGGCAATATCGAAATGATTCTCACTATATAATACGACGAAAAAACACCACGTACCTTAGGATTGTTGGGTTTGACTCGATCATTCTTCATCTTTTCTGGAAGCAGAGCGTAATATTCGTCAATGAGTGCTACAATCATTGTTCTCTTCAGTGGCGGAGTGAGGATTGAGATGGTGTGCACTTCATCATTCTCGTAAAAACAAATATCTACACCATCATCGGAGAGATGCCACGAAGAGAGTACATCATAGGGTAACGTATGAACAAGTTTTAAATTCTGAGAATTGAAAAAGAACACTCCATCCTCAGCCACACCTAGTAATAACTCAGTTCCACTTTCATCCTTGACCTCAAAGAAAGACATCCCGAAATACGGAATTGTTGAGGCAATATCAATATATTTACGCATGGCTTTCTTTTTGGAGAGGCCATGATGAGTAATGTGAAGATTGAAGATTCGTTCTTGCCAATACGCATAGTCATGTCTGGAGACAGTTCTGGGCAAGAAGACATTTAGGCCTACCTTACTGTTGAAGCAGATCCCATGATCGTGAAAATGTGGGGTTATGAAATGTGGATCAAATTTGACCAGACCAAATATACATTGTATGAATTGAACATGTGGGATGTTGAGAATTACTTACTTCAAATACCCAATACGATGTTTGTTGGTGTCATGGTCTCCAAACAAAATTTGTACAGTAAGGGAGGCAAGCAGAACTGCAATCTTCTCTGGACATGGATACACCTCGTTCACTATGTTGTATTGGATCTGCTTGAAGAATAGCTCTTCAGCGATTGAGTCCGTGAATCCTTTAGGCCTCTTGATGTGTTTGATTTGAAATTTTAATTCAGACAGCTCTGTAATCCCCTCGGCCTCAATGGATTTTTCAAAGGACAAGAAGCGATCTGCAGTTATCAAATTGAGGTGTAAGTGGGAAAGCACGCAGTAATAATATTATTGGCCAATGAATACCCAGGGTTGCAATGTTGTTTGATCATTATCATATGTTAAGCGTCCATTCATAAAGAAAGAATATGATTACAAAAACAAGAAGACGAACAGGCGATGATGATTGGAAGAAGTTTGCCCGACATTAAATGATTGAAACATGAACATGTTGAATCATCATGAAACAACAACATTATCATCATCAGCGAGGCTATTCTACCTACCTAGAGGGGCATTCAAATCATCATAAATTTGCTCACAAATTCCAAAGTACTTCTTCTCACTTATGTTCAACTTCTCACACATTTTATCAAACAATACTTGAACAGTTTCGTCAGAGGAGATGGCAATTTTCTTGCTCGATTCTCCTCCAAGTACTTTGATCGTGAGCAGAACACGTTTGTTGTTGAACATTTTTTTTGTTTTTGGGCCGTAGCGCTTTCGGGTTCCCTTATTTCTTGCGAAGAGATCTGAAACAAGTATACCTCTCAACATTTCAAGTTATCATCATCCTGATGAATATTGTGATTTAATGGATTTCACTTCATTTATTGTTCCTTAAAGACTTAACCCGCCTTAAAAAATCTAACCGTTAACATGGTGGATAAAAATAAAAAAGGTTTGGATCGCAAAAAATTCAAACAACAAAAAGCCTTCAGAAAATTTTGGTGAAATGCCAGGAGGATCTTTCCTTCTTGCCTCTCCGAAGAAGAAGAGTGCTTTGGCATCCATGGGCACGCCTACTCCTACATCATCCAGCCACAACATCCGACCCAGCCAGACCCTTTCTCCTTCGCCCAATAATAATATTCTTTTCAATAGTAATAATAATAATAATAACAAGAACAAATCATCAACTACTTTTTCACCACCACCTCCACCTCGTTTCAGCACTCCATCCACACCTTTGAATGGTCGGAATCATCAAGTCCCTTCCAACACTAACACGATCAACAAGACATCATCATCATCAGCATTTAGCAATGGTGGACCCAAGATCACCAACACCACCAACTCCACCACGACAACAACACCTAAATCTAGTGCCCACCCAAACCATCCAAATCATTCCATAACCACACCCAAAAGTAAGCTTATCAAAGGCAGCACATCCACAACTCACTCTGGAGTGCTCATATCCACATCACCAACTTCCACCAAATGTCTCTCCAATTCGGCACTCTCTTCCAATGCCCGTAATGCTGAAAATTATTTTGAAGCCGTCACTCATTTCTTGTCAGCTAATTTTCAACAAGCCATTCAAGTCTTAAAGGAGCAACCGAGTAAGAATCTTCTCACCAAGTTATTGTCTGCTCGATGTTATCATCATATGGATGAGCCAAAAACAAGTTTGGCCATTCTCATGAAATTGTGTCATGAAAATACGAGTGTCTACTCGAACTCCACCACACTCAATGATGTCTATGTGAGGAGTGTGTTGGCTTGTGCTCAAATTTGTATCATGACTTGTCAGTTAATTCTCTTCAAGATTTTACCTCGAAGATTCAAATTGAAGGCATTGTTGCCTGAAGAGTTGGAAATGGTGAGAGACTCCGGTCAATCGAATAACGACACTTCTACTAAAAATGGTAATTATCACAACAGCTTGCCTCTCTCCGTTGAGAAGGATTATTGTCACGAATATTTTGAGAATTGCACACTTTTACTTGTGAAGGCCCAACGACTTTTAACACTTCTCAAGAAACACAAGATACGAACGGAACAAGTGTTTGATGTTCCCCTATTGCCCTTTTCTGGAAGCAGTGGTCACAATAGTCTCGATGCCGAGATTGTCACAGACCAAAGTCTCTCCAAACAAATCAAAACTCTCAAGAACCACATCTCCTTCCTCGGTGCCATCATTCATTTGAGAAGATATGAATATGACTATTCACAAACTCATCTTTCTCAATGCAAAAACCTATTGGAAAAGTTGGAAAAGAAACACACCTTTTTGCATACCGACATGTATGTCACTCTCTCACGAGTGTGTTACATTGAGGAAGATTACGAACAAGCTCATTACTATATCAATAAGGCTGAGAGAGCTCGAACACTGTTTCGAGATTTATTAAAAACAGAAGTGGGAGCACTGACAGGAGAACCTGTCATGTTGCTCTTGGATAGTTCCTATCATTTCGACATGTTTGATCATATTCAAGATTTGAGCTCGAAAATTCTACTTTCGAAATATTTTGAGTATCGAATTGTGAAGAGATGTGAAGACAAGGAGCGCCTTTTAGACACATTGGATGATATCAATTTGAAACGAAGACAACACGATCGTCGTTTGCACTCTTCAGAACGTTTTGATCGCACCAAAGAATTTTATGCCAAATTACGGAAAACAGTTTTCAAAAAGTATGACGCCTCTCTATTGGAAGAGATGACCAGCTGGGGTTTATTTTCATTGGTTGTGAAATTGGCTGAGATTTTATTGGAAAGAGAGGAGAAACAGGAACATTTGCAGCAAGGTTCTGAGGATGACAATGGTTCGAACCATGACTGTGAAAATTCCTCACCGCCAATTTCATCTCCTGGAGGTCATAGTAGTGGCAGTACCAGTACCAGTAGCACTAACGGTAGTAGTAACTGTGGTAACTATGTGCGAGCTGTGAACAATGTGGACAATACTGTTCATACCAAACATACCTATATTTTCTGTCTCATTAAGGGATTGTATTTATGCAAACGTTTTGATAAGTGTCTCTCGACATTTGTCAAGTATGAAAAGATTCTTGTAGACAACAGCAACAATAGCAACAATACAATAATTGTCAAGATTTACAATTGGATCGTTGACAGTTATGTTGCCTTAAATATCAATGGGTACTGCCCTCAATTATTGACCTTGAAACGTATTCAGGAGATGGTCAAATTTAATCTTCCCCATTGGAAACAGCATCCAGAGGTGCTTCACGTGGCCATTCGATTCTACAAATTTCTGAAACAAGATGAATTAGCTGCCACACTAAGAGGTCGATTATTGAGAGCTGTCTATGATGAAATTCATGGAGGAACGAGTGCTACTAGTAGTAGTAGCATCTGTAGCAGCGGTTCGAACATGTCTAATAATACAGATGCAAATGGATCCATTGTAAAGTATTCACATCTGTGCTGTCAGGAATTTTTTGAAGAATTACTCAATACTTATTTGAATAGAAAGGTCATCTTGTTGGAGGGAAGCAGTAACAATAACAACTCAACATTGACCATCAATGTGAATGATGAGACAATTTCCAGCAGAAGCACCACCACTGCACGAAAATCCAACACTAATTTTTCCAAACAACCATCAAGCAGTTTTACAACACCACTAAATCCAATTCAATTCGATGATGACTTGACATTGTATTCCTCGTTTGAAGATTTTGCTCCAAAACGAGCTCAATTGGAAAAACAGAAACAAAGACAAGCTTTGGAAGAACTCAAGCGAAAACGTGAGGAGCAACAAGCAAGCTCAGTTGCCTCAAAGAAGAATAAACTGTGAAGTGTGTGTGAGGCGCAATTCGAATTGATCGAATCCAATATTGGAGAACGTTTACGAGGTCACTGTATTTTAAATGTCACAAACCACTCGAGATTAGTCGTTACGTTCAAAATCCTGTTCTTCTCAATCCAAGATGTTTCTCTTAAATGATGGTGCAGTTCTGTTGCTTGGCACTGGTTTGGATGAATGGAATTCCTGATTGTTTGGTTCGGATGTCTTGAGAGTAGCCTTATGATTTCCAACAACATCCATCAGTTAAAGCAGAACCCAAATTTAGTAATAAATGCATCCTGTACACTTCACAACCACATTTTGATAAATATTGCACAAGAGTGAAAATAAATAGTAAAGTGGCTCTCTTCAGGTCATATTAGGATATTATAGAGATAGTAGGCTAATCAAAAGAATTTGATTCCTATTGTCAGGAAAACTTCAAAGAGATTTTGTTGTAATGTAATAACTGAGGAGAGCGAAAGGTTTAACTGTAAAGACTTTTTGCGACCCAATCAGTCACTTCCATCCTATTTGAATTGAACAACGTTTTTCAACTATTTTGTTGATGAGAGGACAATGAGACAATCGCAACGGTCAATGAGATAACTCTCATTATTCCGTTTATAGCTTCTAAAAGACATGAAAAGCCATCTGGCATAGCCGGATTACTGATTCGAACGTAAAAAGTGAATATCTCAGGAGAGGTTGCATCAAGATTTGGAAAGCCAAGAAAATTGAAAATCTTCGGGTCATCCGATTTGGAAAAGTCGAAGAAGTCTCAAACTCAAGCTTCGGATCAAAAACTTGGTTTTCAGAGCGCTGTAAACCGCCGCTCCACCGACATCACTTGGAATTTTTTGGAAGGCGAAAAATTGATAATCTTTTGAATTAAAAACAACAACAACATCACAACTCACTAACCCCATCGAGAGAGAGCGTTGAGTGATTAAAATCAAAACTTGTATTTGAATATCATTGAATATTATTCTCATTATAGAACTCTATCGAGTAGTAGTCGTACTTTATGCCAAAGGAATCATCAAAAAAGAAGACCAATACCCGTATTGAGATTACTCGGGAGATGATGGTATGTGTGTGTTCTAGGCATCATCAATCGTTATTCTATTCATCAACATATTTATCATTTTCACGTATCATCATAATGTTGGAATACTGGAATGTTCTTACCGTAATCGATTGAAATAATCATACTTTAATATTTTAAATATTTTTCCGTTTTTGGATGGTTTGCTTTATTCCACTCACAACAATAATTGTTTATTTCACAACTCACAACCGCTACAACAATATTATCCCTCTTACCATCATTAGGCCAGATATTTCTATTGCCCTCAAACACTCGCAGCAAGATTGCTTGGTGTGAGCATCAGTAAGTAATTTCAAAGATTTTGAGTTGTGATGATCAACAAACAATATGAAAATCCTTCACAACAATAATTGCTTCATGAATGTTGTGTACGGATGTGATGGTTATATGGAACTGTGGACATCATGATGTGAACGATGGATTCTGTGGTGGCTTGGTCGTGTCATGAAAAATGATCACATGTTCCTGTGAACTATCTCTATAATAATAACAAACACGTTGTCATCCATCAAACTTTCAACCGATAATTAATTTACTTTTCTTCACATTACTTGTCAGGCACTCTCAAGAGAAGATTTTATGATTTACACATGGGAAGGTAAGTGATGATTCTCCTTCTGTACACCCTGATTCATGTTATTGCCTTGTGGTTGAAAACGGACAATGTATACCCGAATCACTACGATGGAATGAAACACGAATTCTCTCTCTCTACGATTTGAAAAATCTATTATTGAGGGATGATTCACTTCCTATTCCACATCAACATTCACACCAATGAAAATGTTCGTGCATGCACGAAATGAACCATTAATCTCTTCAGATGGCCCTATCAATGCATTTCTCTCAATGAAAGAAAGAAATCCATCTATTTTCTCATGAACGAAACTGAACCTGAAGATGAAAAGGAATTGGATGAAAAGACTTGGACGTATTTGAGACATGCCTTTCGTGATGCCAGTAAGCCTCTCTCGAGTACTAGTTCCATGAATCATTCTTCGCATTTAGCTTCACACGCTAACAACCACCAGAACTCTCCACAATTTCATTTGTGTTCCTTTGTGGAGAGCGAAGATGGAAAAGTCATGCCCACAACGACCATGGTGAGTTGTACCGCTCCAACCACTCCAACCATGAGTAGTGGCAGTGGAGGAGTGGATGGATGGAGTGGTGGTGGTGGTTCCTCTTCTGGAGGCAGTGCTGATGGAATGGAAGTAGTGTCCAAACAACAACAACAACGAACAAGAAAAGCACAACAGCCCACTCATCTTGGAGGAAGTATTTCTTCACCTCAACAACCATTATTGATGAAACATATTGTCTTTCATGGAGAAAAGAAAAAGAAGAAGCAACCACAACATCACAATGGCGTTCCTCAACATGGTACTCATAGAGATGTTGTTGTTCATCATCATCATACCCTTGTGAACACACTCCCTTGCCAGGCTCATTCCAGAGCAGCAGCAGCAGCAGCATTGAACATGACCGTTGAAGGAGACAATCATCCACCGTACTCGGGCCAACACTCTTGTGTGCAAACCATGACCGCAATGGGTGTGAGATCTTGCGCGGTCAGTGGAGGTGGTCATCATCATGAGGAGGAAGTCGTTGTGGTTGCCTCTCCTCCTGTTGCAAATCAACAGCAACACCACCACCATTATTATTAAGATCTCTCTTTCTGGTTTCTTGTCTTGATTCATGTTCGATCCAGTGATTGAAAGAGAACAAATACACACATATATGCACACAAGGAAGTTCTTGTAGGGCTGCACTAGAGGAATGAACTATTAGTACTACTGCAACATATTTTAGTTCTACTAGTAGTTCAGATTACCCTATGGAACTTTTTTTACTCGTCCATTGTTTGGAATGACAGGTTGGAATGGCACAAGTGGTAACAAAATGCACAACCATCGAAAACTTTGACTTGTTGAAACCCAACCTCTGGATAGATGATCATTTATGAAAATTCTTTTACTTGTTCTCTGACGGAATGTATTCTGTTCTGTATTCCGTAGAGATTAGACCGGAAACACTTTGGTGCTGTTTCAATCATAATGAGAGTCATTCAACAAAGGAAGAGTTGTATTGTGAATGCATTATTACTGTCTCTTTCAATTATGGACAAGAAACCTTAAACACAATATTGTGCTTGGATATCACCTATATTGATATTTTTATTTTTATTTTTTTTAAACTCATTAAGCTATTCATGTTGACAATACACACAAACACACATGAGAGTACACATATCCATAAGATGAACACACAATGACCTACGTTACATCAAAGCTCTCTCAGTTTCAAGAAAAACATACTTCATACCATGATCAATCAATTTATTGTTGTTGTTTAAAATAGTAAGGCAAGATCTGGAGAGGATTATTTAAAGACGCATCACTGCGATGTTTGCTCATTTGTTTCGAATCCAATCTCAAATGTGCAGGTTTTGTGGCTTCCACAAACAGTTAACCCACTAAAGAGTAACAATAGATGAACAATCAATTGCAGTAGAGCAGGTTCATCATGATGCAAAATTCTTATGGTGACTCCTCTAGAGATGCAATGTATAGAGGAGTGGTCGTTCATTAACTGAATTCCATTTTCGAATGATTCTCTACAGTACTATGACAAAAATATTTTAACAATCCATTCTATCTTTCATTGTACAATAGATACTTCTCGGGAGCAAAGACTCGATCATCATTTGTGTGAAAATGGTATAATGGCAATATGCATATATAATATGGATATTAGGTAACATGAACCAAGCTTGTGACATCTCTTGCTATTTTTGAAATGGGTCGTTTCTGGAGAACTCGAGATGTTCTTGATTGCGAATCCACCGTTATTGTGCCATAACCATTTCGCGATCTGTTGCATCCCCTGACTTTTTGAAAAACTAGTCATGATGGGTGGTTGTGTCACATCTAACAGTTGGTTCAACTTTTAGATGCAAAAAGTCAGATACCAAAACATCACCAATGATCCTTTATTTTAAAAGATGTTTTCATCCTTTTTCAAGAGCAACGACAGAGATATGTGAGCAGTTCTCTCTCTCTCACTTGGTCATGTTGCCACTCACCAACCGCATTTTGCAAGTCTTTTATCTCAGATCCTATCGGTCTTCATCAATGGAAGTTTTTTTCATACCCTCACATTTGTAGATTCTCCTTGTCATCATGTGTAGCAGTACTTCCCTTACAAAATAAATTATACATTCTCCATTTAAAGCAAGTGAGGAACACTCACATAAATAATATTGGCACGGACTGACACCTGGTGAATTAGAATCTGCCTGTCCCGACTTGGAATAAACGGGCCGGTTGAGAGCACCGAGATGGTAAAAAACACGGGGTACCCACTTTCCATTTGCAGTTTCGGAAAAACATTGTTGAGTGCAATAGTTCACTTTTTGAGGTGCATTCAATTCTCCTGTACTTGGGCCAAGGGCGTTGTCGTCAGTTGCAACAGGTATCATAAAGAGAGGCAAATGAGAACACGAATGAATGCCTGACTTGTCTCTTGAATGTTCACACCTTTTGAGACCTCCATGCAATTCGTTGTGATCCCATTCATTATTATCGTTCTGGAAAGCAATGTTCCTTTTCATGTTGATCTTTCGAGAAAATTGTGCAAGAGAGGTTCTTCATGGATCACAACCTGTTCAAACTACAAACGCAAATGACATGAATCTCTCACTTTCGTTGTTTGTTGGATCCGTGAGATGCAACCGAGGAATGATGACCATTCGTGTCCTCTCAGTATTACTGAATTCAAGGGATGGACAAATTTCATTTTAGGAGTCGCCTCTTTGTCTAAAATAGGCAGTCAGATGCGAAATCCCAAGTGAGATACGCGACACCAATACCCAACGTGGTGTCTCTTTTACTTGAAGGTTGGTTTTTTTCGCAACAATCACCACAAAAAAAAACAACAGCAACACACTTCTGATCCGAGTCCTCTCCTCTCTTGAGATACCTCCGTGTGCCCTCCGAAGAAGACGAGTCGTAGTGGTACAATAGTTGAAGACAAATATATCTTGGTTCATCCTACCCACCCACCAACTTGTTGCCAATTGTTGTACAGAGCAAAACAACAGCAACACACTCATTCCCAATTTTATTTTGCCTCTCTCTTTCCTTTTGAGATCTCTTTCCAAATGCCAGCAATAACCTCCTCGACAAGGTCTGCAGCTCATTCACCACCCACCCTTGTTTCTCCAAGCAAGCCAACACCACCCATGATGATGATGATGATGGCAACCAGCACGACAACTCCAAGAGAATGCACCATGATGAACCATGGTGAAGGTGTTGTTTCTTCTGCAACAGAAGAGAGAATTCCTCATCATCCTTTCTATTCTCGTCCTCCTCCTCCTGTGTCCTATCAGAATCCTCACTACCCATATCCACAACATCCCATTGAAGCGTCATTGAGTAATCATCCTCACAACCACCACCATTATTCCATGTATCCACCTGCTCCATCTCACATTCATAACCCTCACAACCACTATTATCCTCTTCCTGGTCATGGTATCAATCATCATCACCACAATCTCCACCACCACCACTACCACTACCATAAACCACACAAGCATGAAGAGATTGTTTCTTGTTCCTCCTCTGCCTCTTCCTCACATTCATCATTATCCTCTCCTCACGCTTCGCCTAAAGTTGATCATGCTGATGAAAATTTTGCAAAGGGAAAACGAACGAGTCGAAAATCGAGCATCTCGTCTGATTCTGCATCCAATCCCACTACAACGAGTCCAAAGAGTCAACCAACGACATGTAAGAAATCCAAGCAAGTAATCATGGCAGGAGACACCAACACGAACGGCATTGTTAAAAAGAAGAGAAAGACAAAGAAGAATAAGATTATCATTGCAACTTCAGAATTGGTTCGATGCATGAATTTACCACAAACTGTTGCTGCAAAGGTACTGAAAGTTTCATTGAGTACTGTAAGTATTTAATTGGGCATAATCATACCAATTCTAATAACACATACAATAGTTGAAACGACGATACTATGAATTGGGAATTGGAAGATGGCCAGCAGTGCAAGGTTCTTCGAATGTAAGCAATCCTGGTGACACTGATGGTGCCACTTGCTCCACACAGAACGATTTGTCCTATGTGAATTGCAACGATGTAGAGCCACAACAAAAACTTTCTCTCTCGTTTATTATGCACAAGAAGGACGTTGCTGAACCTTCAGTCGTGGATAACCTTTCCATGGTGATTTTGAAAGTGGCTTTCACACTCAACACAGCCGAAGAGAAATAAAATATAAATGTACATAGATATCCAAATGTGAATTGTGTAATGATTGGGAATTTCTTTATTTGTACGAGTCAAAAAAGATCGTGAATGGCATGTCGTGCAACTTTTGAGTTGGTACTGCCATGTTGATGCGCAAGAAAATGTGTGCTGTCAGCTCCGTGCAATCGTGATACCCACTTTGATCTTTTGAATAGGAAATTGTTTGATTTGGACAGCTGTTTTGCTGCGGCTTACCATTTACATAAGCATGACAGTAATGTTGTCACTCGCATAAGCTAAGATGCGAAACAACAAAATTCAAAAATCATTCACGCAATAATTATTCGGTGCTTGTCATTTCGTGAGTATTGAAACGACGCTTTCAGTCACTTTCAGTATTGGGAAATAAATAATCTTTCAAATTCTTTTTTTGCTCTTTTTCAACACTCCTGAGGTGGTTAATTCCATATGCAAATATGAATCCACAAAGAATGTTGCCAAATATGAGTAGTTTGATTGCAAACATGCAATGATCAACGACAAACAAACATCCACACATCGCTACTTACAAATTCAATAGTAAAGCATGTTCTTCTCTCATGTCATCCACCATGAATTTCCTCCTCAATTTCTCACTACAAAAACAGAAAATGAAACAAAATAGTAGAGAAGGTAACACAATAAGAACTCCCAAGCCTAATGATCCAAATCCAAAAAATCCTCTTACAAATCCAATATCTCCTTCTAAAATGTTGCCATGATAATACTTGTCCCAAGGTTGAAAATTTAAGGTACCATTGGTAATGTATTCGGCATAAACATATGGATCTTTCGAACTCCTAAGTGTAATGACCAAATCACTAAATAATACAGTGTGATTGTATACATCTTGATTGTTATAAATGACAGAATAAATATAGGTGAGACCTGAATAACTTGAACCTATCGACGATAGATAAGGAACATCAGTAGGGCCACATCCAATTCCTCCACTACATGTCATGTGATTCAAGCATATATTATTACATATGTTCAATAATCGAGTATGTATTATTATTATTATTATATATATATTATTCAACATTTTGGTGTCAACGCCAAAAACCCATGCAAATATTGAATGAAATAAATACATGTGGGTGTATTACAAAAATCCAAGTTAAAAATGTTAAGATTGATTATTGTATGAATATTAAAAAAAACGAGTCATTGTATCAATCAAAAAAATTCAATAAATTCAGAACAATCCAATACAGCGTCATTAACGTTTGGCTTGAACAATACATTTGGAAATACTTACAAACTATTATCAAGCTGCACACTCGTTCCAGCATCATTCACCTTTACCTTAATGCAAACTTCGCGCAATCGATGAACGAGATAGCATTTTCCATTCTCTAGGAATCCATAACGACATCCAGATGAGCTCTGATGAATAGGGGATTCAGTCTTGAGAAATAAATAAATCAGAGGAACTTGAAGAGCGTTGGTTTGTGACAGTTCTTGAGCAGTCATAGTGGATTCCAAATTTTCTGAAGTAAAGAGTGAGGATAAAAGTGAAAGTAAGGAAATGCCACCGCCACTTCCTCCACCATTTTTACCTGGTTTTTCTCCTGAAAGAATTTTCTGAGGATATGAGGACCAAGTGATATTCAAAAACAATGCCTTACTAAAATTGGTTCGAATTGGATCAGTGAATAATGTGGAAGGATTTTTGGAATCAATTTGAAATTTAAACGAGTTATACTTTTCTAAAAAGATTGGATTATCGGGATGAAATACATCCGGCTGAGTATTGAGGGAGAACGGAGCTTGATTGAGCACAGTGAAGCTTGACTCTGAGTCTTTTGATGGAGGAGATGTAGTTATTGGTGATGGTGGCAACTCGCTTGTCAATATGGAGCGTGTGGTGCTGGCACTACTATGACCTGTTGGAAGTGTGGCGCTGGAGAGATTGTCACCGTTATGAAGACTCGAATCGGAGTGGTGACGAGGTGAATATGAGTACGACAAAGGCGGAAGGGCCACACCTGGTGCATGTAAATCCACAGATTTTTCATCGTAATATTCATTACTAGTATCAAAATTGTTGTCATGAGAGAGGTGAGATGGAGAGGAAGATGAGACAGACGGCGACGGCATCGGTGGTAGTGACGATATTGAAACGGAAGGAGATGGAGTGGGAGCATTGGAAGTCAAAATAGCTGTTAAGTTGAATTTGTAGGATGTAAAAACTTGTCTGTTGGTGGCTTGCCATTTCTAAATAATAACCAAAATGAGATCATGAAAATTAAGTAATGTGGTGGTGAAATAATAATTTGAGAGAAATTTTCATTTGATAATAAGAGTCATGTATTCGTGTTGATCAATAATAAATGATGTAATAATAATTTTTCAAATATTTTCCAAATCGTTAGATTTTTTGGTGATACGTAACCGTTGTTGAATTCATAGCAGCAGTTCATTCTCATCACAACAACACGACCATCAACTGTGATAGGACCACTTACCAAAGCCAAATCATTGAATGTAGAAATTTCTGGTGGATTTGTTGAGACGGGACCCAACACTCCAAATAAAACTCCAAATAACATCAATCCCGAGCCGAAAAGAATGAAAAAAGTCAAAAATAGAGCCAGTGGTTTAATACCACAGCAATTCCATTCCATCATTTTGTTAATATTGTTTTGAATAGGAATGTTGATATTGTTTGAATAATAATTGGAAGAAAGAAATTGATGGTGAGACGAACAATCAACAAATTTTCTGTCTCTTGTGGGTAAAAAATGTGAGAAGCTGAACCCCTTGTAACACACACCGCTCGGAGTGTTTCTCTCACAAAGTAGAATTTCAATCGATTTAAGTTACTGTCTATATTTCTAAATAATTCAATAGCTCAAAATTACTATTAATTTTGTATTATTATTATTATTATTATTATCTGTGATAAATATATTAAGATGTGGTTGATCCCAATGTGGCCACGAGAATCTGCACGCGTTTATCTCTTCAAGGGAGAGAGAGCAAAAGGTTTTTGCGGTATTTTTGAGTGTTTTTTTGGGAGATCGACTCGAAAATTAGAAGCAAAAAAATTGTGGCCTCGAAAAGGCTTGACTCTTTTCAAAAGCAAACTGAGAAATATATATCTACAACAAAGTTGAGCTAAACATGAAATCATGTTCAGCATCATCGCCGGAAGAGGATAATGTCCTCCTCAATGCCGAAATTGAGAACACCATCATGACCACCATTCAAAACGAACCAACAACAACCACTACAATGATGAGCTCAGAGGAAAATGTTGCTTCCGATATTGAGAATGAATCTACCATGAGCTCATCGTCCTCTTCGAGTAGCAGCGAGGAACAATCCATGTTATTCTGTGGCTCATTCTCGGGATCTCAAATTATCAAGATGGCAGAGGCTCAAAACAGCCTTCAATCGCCACAACAACAAGGGCAAACAACAGCAACGTTAGCCTCCTCCTCCCGTGTATCACTTCCTCCTCATCATCCAAAGATTTATTCTCATCAAACTGGCAACGATGGCCATGTGATGCTGGAAACAAACGAACATTCCTCATTAGGCAGTTGCCCTTTCCTTAATGAAACAGATCACACGAAAGAAGACGACAACATGTCTCATGTAACAAGCAGCATTGTGAACCAACAACAACTCGGTGATCAGCAATCACAACGTTCTCAACCTGAGGAGGGTATGGATACATCATTCCATGGCCATAACCCTCCTTCCAATCAGGATGACCATGAAAGAGAGGATGGATTGAGCTCTTTGCAACAACAGGGATGTATCTATGCTACTTCACGTACTCTTGAAAACATTCACAACAATAGTAAGTTGTCAGTTGACAATTCATTGGCGTAAAATTTGGGTAAAATTCTTCTTTTGTGGATGGATTCTAAAATTATTGGCTTTATTAACAGGATTTGCCTCAGCCATGGACTTCGATTTTAAAAGTGATAAGGCCATTAATGAAGCCGCCTCTAAGCCCAGGTTGCTGAGAAGTTCTTCCAATCATTCAAATCAACTCCATGGTGTGACGCATTCAAATAATTCTCAATCAATAGTGACCCTTGCCGAAGTAGAACATTGTCCCAATGATTGTACTGTTGTTTCTCACTCATCGTCATCACCGACAGAAGACGAAACATCCATTTCATCATACTGTCATTCTGACGAGAGTTACGACTCTGATTCTAGGAGTCATCTTCTTTTAAGAGCAATCTACAATGCCCAGCTTAGTGCAGCCATTCACATTGAAAATCCTTCACGACTCTTCCTTGACTTGTTGAACGAAGTATTATGCTTGTTGAGATGTGGCTATGGGTTTATCGGAGAACTAAAACTTGACGAGTATGGAAAACCATTCTTGCATTCACATGCACTCTCCTTTGCCAAAACTAAGTTAACTGACGAAGCACGAGATTTGTTCAACCGAGTATCTTCGTGCAACTTCAAATTCAATAACATGAATACTCTCTTTGGACATGTATTAATGACCGGTGAAGCAATTGTTACAAACGATCCCAAGAATCATCCGAAGGTAAGTAATTTTATGTGAAGAACCTACCATGAATTTATTGAGATCTATTGTAATCATGGAAAATTGGAAATGCATGTATGAACTTTATTTTTTTGTAAAACAATATTGAAATTTATTTATCACGTGGACATCGAAAAATTATTTGAAAACAGCGAAGTCCTACTCATCTGCCCAAAGGTCATCCTCGAATGGATTCGTTTCTTGGAATACCGTTGCATTTTAATAATGAACTTGTGGGCATGATTGGTCTTGCCAACAAGGAAGGAGGATTTCACAACGAAGACGTAACATTTTTGGAGCCTCTCTGTACAACCTGTAGTTCCATCATTGTAGCGTGGAGATATTATTTGGACAGAGAGGAGGCACGGGAGAAGCTTCGCTTATCGAATTTAAATTTAGAACACAAAATTTTCCAAAGAACTCAGGAGTTGTTGCAGTCGAACAGCAAACTAAGCGAAGAGGTGGAGAGGAGAAGAAAAATCGAGCAAGAGTTGCTTGAACAGCAGAAAATATCGCAAAGAGTAATGTTGGAAAAGGAGAATTTTTTGAGAAATGTTTCTCATGACTGTAGAACTCCATTGAATGCAATTTTAGGGTTTAGGTGAGTTGAAAAAGTTTTTTACTTCTAAATTCTAACTCATGTCGGAAAATGCATTCCTCATGATTATTCTGGAAAAATGTTGCACATCCACAAACAATGACACATCACATTATTCAGCGACCTTCTCTTGAGATCTGTGGATGAGTTTCCAATCTCAAATCAACAATTAGAGTTTATCAATCTCATCAAAACGAGTGGAGAATCAATGTTGTCTTTGATTAATGATTTTTTGGAGATTATGAAATTAGAACAACAAATGAAGCTCAATAATGAATTATTTTCCCCATGTGAACCCTTTGAAGAGGTGTTGGACCTTGTTGTTTTGGAATGTGATAAAAAGAAACTCGATCTAATAATTGATTATCATCCAGATTTCAACTTTTCAACTATTTTATACACAGACAAGGGTAAAATGAAGCAAGTTCTGTTGAACTTGCTTTCAAATGCTGTCAAGTTCACAACTTTTGGATATATTTACATTCGGGTGAAAATGGTAACTCACCAAGATGGATTCACAGAAATGGAAGTTTGTGTCAAAGATACAGGCATAGGTAGGTTACATTCTTGAGAGATGTAAAATGAATTGTCACTATCGAAATCCACAAATTCTTCTTCGCTTTGTGTGAATTCAGGAATTGAAAAGGAAAATTTAAGCAAGATAGGTCAACCGTTTGTTCAATTCAAAACAAAACAAGAGTCAAAAGGAACAGGCTTGGGTGTTTCAATATCAAAAATGATTGCACAAGGATTGGGAGGAAACTTGAAGGTGAGTTTCAAAGAGTTTTTTCATTTCTGAATTATTTATGACAAAACTTTCTTTAATACAATCAATTCCCATGCTATTGAACTCTTTCACCCAACAAATTTTCCTTAATGAATCTTCTCCTACTAAGGTTGATTCTCAAGGAATTGGATGCGGTTCTGAATTTACATTCACTTGCAAAGTGCCTTACAAAACTTTCAAGGATTTGACAACTGAGGAGCAACAGGCCATTCATCAACGTGAAATGGTTAAATTCGAGTCCCTTAATGAGATACTTCAACGTGATGTAACCTACTTTATGGAAACGGAACAGTGTAACGAGTTCAAAATTTTAATCCTCGATCGAAGTAATTTATTTGCGGATAGTCTTTCCCACATGATTGATAATATTGACACGGTAGTAAGAAAGATCATATTTGTTTGTGATAGTAAGAAGACCCTGAAGACAGAAATCCAAAATCAAATTCAGTCGTGTGGAGAGTTTTGTAAGATCATAATATTTGTCGATGCCATGCTGTTGTTCGATGAGTCTATTTCGGAACGTTCACTCTCTGATATTTATGCTGCTTTGGATATCCCAATTGAATTGAGCTTGCAACATCATAATACTTCGTTGCAAGAGCCAACGCGGCAACCTTGTGTGAGAATTATACCAATGCTTCAGCAGTCAATTTTTTATGGAACATCTGTCATTCCACTTTCTGAGTATGCATTAATGAAACCCATATTCAAGGTAGAAGATATTGCCAAGATATTATTTCCCTCCATATTTGTAAGTCTTGGAAATGCTTACCAGAGTAGAAAGCAATCACTGAGTGATGCAGATGAATCTTTGCTGTCTACAGCAGCATCATTTTCAGTTTTGGTTGTCGATGATAATGCGATCAACGCCAAGGTTATCTCTCACATGCTGTTCAAACTGGGCATTCGCAATGTTACTACTTGCACTAGTGGAGAAGAAGCCATTGAATATGTCAAGAAAAAGTATTACAATTTGATCTTTCTTGATTTGTTGATGGATGGACTGAATGGCACCGAGACGTCACGAATAATTAACATGACATGTCGTCATAACGCTCCTTGTATCATCTTACTCACTGCTAATCTTATTTCAGAAAGAGAGCGCGAAGAATTGATCAACAATAATGTGAAACATTTCATGACGAAACCCGTTCGATTCACAGATGTACGCCAAAAGATTATCCATATATTGAGAAGTCAATTGAATGCCTTAACACAGTAAATTGGTTGCAAGATTGTTGTCAACTCATAAAGTCTTTTGGAGGAGAATCGCATCTATCGAATATATTTTGGGAAATTAAAAGAGAACGAAAGGAAAATTTCTCATCTCACACAATCGCATTACTCACCCTTGCGTGAATCTTTGTAAACGCTGTTTCAGCTGTTCATCGTCAGTGAGGTTACCCTTCCGACTCTCTTCCGACAGAACCACATATTTTTGAAAACCTCGTGAGCATTTCAGAACAAGCTTTCCTTTTCAAGTCACGAAATCTTCTTTCAAAGTTCCAATTAACCACACACATGCACACACTTTGAAAAAAATGTATCGACACAACTCGAGCACGCTGCTTTCTTCCTTCAATCAAAACTACAGTAAGGTAACAGTCTCTGGTGGCAGTTGCATTCATCAGAGTGGTTATTTTTTATGTCATTATCAACATTCAGCTCCATTAACGGCCTTTTCCTCTCGAGAGGATGATGGTATTATTCCAAATGAAAATCATTCTGATCACACATCGACTTCATCAACTGCTTCTTCTTCTGTTGGTGGAGAACGGAAGAAAAAGTCAATGCCAGATGCCATCTCTCAATCACAAAAATCGAGCAAATTATTTTATCAAGTGTGGACACCCTATGATTTATCGAGAGTGGTAGGAGTGGTGTTGCTTGTCCATGGATTGAATGAACATTGTAAGTGTTGTGTGTATTTTGTGAGCAATATTGTCAGTTGATTAATATTTGATCACTCATTTATGTGATTATTCATATTTGTACGTCAATGTATCATGGATGTGACACGTAAATATTGGATGATTCCTTCATGTGATTGTTGCTGTGATGATGGTGAATGACCATTCTGGGTATTGAACTCTTTTTTTGACAGCTGGCAGATACAAACAATTGGTCGATCAACTGGTTTCTCATCGATATGCCGTTTTTGCTCTCGATCTCGAAGGTCACGGTCGTTCCGATGGTAAACGTGCCTTCATTGATAATTTTCAAATGTACATTCATAATGGACTTCAATTTCTCGACTTCATCACTTCTGGAACTCTTCATTTACACACTTGTGACGAGGAAGGACATTTGTATATCATGCCACAATCTCTCTCGACCTCAACATTTATTGGTTCAGAGGAAAATGGTCGGTTAAGTGTGGCTTCTAATTCTTCCTCCTATTCTTCATCGAATGCCAGTCCAACCAAATTTAGAAAAAGTCGTAATTTGGGATCTGCCAAGAAATTAGTAGGTCTTCATTCTTCGAATGTCTCATTGGTTGAGGAGGATATTCTCGAGGAAAATAAGAAACATTATTCTCCAAAAATTATGAAGAGTATCATGGACATGATTTTAGGAGTTTACGATCGAGAATGGAAACAACACGACGATGAGGAGGACATGGAAGAAAAATTGAATGATTCGTTTACATCTTCGAGCTCTTCCACAACAACGACACCCTTTGGAAATTATGAAATTGGAAATATTATTAGTCAACATTATGAAGGAGCATGGTTCGAAAAGAATAGCCAGCTCATTCAAAGACCTTCGGAAGCCCTGTTGACAGTCAATCAGTGCAAGAAACCCATCTTTTTATTTGGACAGGGAATTGGAGGATTGGTTTCTCTTTTCATGTCCATGGAGAGAGAAAAGACGTTTGCAGGAATGGTGTTAAGTGCTCCGATGGTGACGGTGCCTTCCGAGTTGCATTCATTTCTTCAAAAGTAAGTGTGTGAAATTTTATTGATGTTTTTATTAAGGCGAACATATATATAACATATAATGGGCTTATTCTAACTTCCTTTTGTGATGTGGATGAATTTTGCACGTTGATTGATTTTAATGTATTCTCATCTTCACATGATAGAATTGCAAAGGGCATTGCTGCATGTGTTCCTAACATGCCCATCATGGAAATGGATTTAAAAAAAAGAACTCACTCACAGGAAGAAATTGAAAACTTTAAGAAAGACCCTTACACTTGTAAAGATAAATTGAAAGCCAAGTTGTGTTTTCAAATTTTAGATACTACCAAGTTCTTTAAGGAAGAATGTGTTCACAAATTAGAGACGCCCTTCATTGTCTTTCAGGGAACTTGTGATGAGTACTGTTCACCAGAAGGAGCACAATTTTTGATGGAAAAGTCCACACGTGTGAAGGATAAAGAACTTGTGACACTTGCAGGGCTCTATCACGATTTATTGTTTGAAGTGTGTGCAGAGAATACATTATTGAAAATTATGGAATGGGTAAATAAGAGAAATCCTCTGGCACGAAGTAATTCTTGGAGGTGAGAGCTGTGACATAATTATAAATCTACCGAATACTACAATAAGAACCTAACTGATTTAGTGTAAATACAAGTAAAACTCGTTGTTGATACTTCATGGTGTTCGTGACGGCATAAATATACAAGTGAGGGTGTGTTTTAATATTTGTGATCATTCAACAAGAACTAGTATTTCATCATGAGATTCGGAAGTTTGAATTTCCAGGAAGTAAGTGATTCAATCACTGATCCAAAATGCTCAATCGAAGAACTAGTTGCAATTCTGCGTCATCTTCATCATCATCGATATATTGAAGTGTTTGTTGTGGAGGTGGCTGCACCTGTTGCTGTTGTGGTAGACCTGTTGGTGATCTTAAAGTTGTTGAGGCTGAGTTACTGATGGTATGAGTGAAAATGGTGGCATTTGAGGAAGAGTTAGTCGAGGATGAAGGGGTTGTCTGTGGCACTACTATGGAAGAAGAAATGGGAGAGAGGCTCAGTGATGAGAGGACTGGTTGATCTCGATTAAAAATGACTTGTGGTGCTGAAAAATTGTCCTGAGTTTGTTGCTGCTCTAAAAGTGACAATCGAATGGCCTCATTAAGCATTTCATCATCAGCATTTACATTTGTGACATCAATCGTCTGAGGGATAAAATCTGAAAATGCAGGGAGTCCCTGTTCTAAATCCGTGTTACTCAAAGGCGAGAGACTTTCAGCTCTTGAAGGAGGACTTCTTGAAGGGCTTCTTGGTGTTTCACCCCTTGAATGATTCACGTGCGATGAAGGTCTCTGAAGAGAGGAAGAACCTCTTATTGAATTATTGTGGGGTGACTGTGAGGAGGAACGTGATGGAGAGTGATTGATGGATTGTTCGATTGGTCCTGCAGCCTCAGTTGAAACACGACCAAGTGAGAAGTATCTCATCAATTCACTCAACGTATCATCTCTATCTGATGTCGTCATTTGATGTAATGGTGATCGATTGTTATTGTTGTTGGTGCTCATTGAGGGTGTTGGTGTTGCGTTAGAGGTATTTCTTGGGAATCGTGAGAACGACGATGCTGATGAATTATTTCCAAATAAATAAATAAATAAGGGATCACTATTAGAGGTTGATTCTGTGGATGAAGGATTTCTATGGATGGGCGTGCTGTTCGATGATGATGATGGTTGTGGCAATGCAGAACTATTTTCTTCTCTTCTGTTTGCAAAGTAACTCTCCAAAAATGCAATTCCTGACAACTGTGGAGAACTATTATTGGATGGGCTGACATTTCCTTGAAGCTGATTCGAACATGTGGAAGGTGTTGAAGTCAATGAGGTGGTAGTTGTTGTAGGAGCCACATTTGTGACGACACTTGTTGAGCTTGTACTCGTCGTACTGATAGTGCTATTATTTAATGACTCTGATATTCTCTTATTTCGTTCTTCTTCTTGTTGTAATTGTTCTTCCTGGTCATGCTTAATTTTGAGTTGAATGACTTTTTGCTCCTCTTCCAATTCCTTACATCGTTGTTTCCAATTTTTTGGACCTGTGTATTGAATTTTAAAAGGTGAAGCTTTACAGAAGGGACAAATGGAATTCGACTCGGCATGTTTAGGTCCTCCACGACAAATTTGAAGATAACACTCACTACAAATACGTTGTGAACAGCATTTGGCCGAATTCATTCCACCCTGATAGTACATCATGCAAATAGGACACTCATCAAAATACAGTTCCAAAGGTGGATGTTGAAATGATGATGAGGAAGAGTCCCCTCCGAACAAGGTGGTTGAATCATCCGAAGTTTTGGTAGTAGCAGTAGTTGTAACATGATGATCATTTTCAGTTGATATATGACTCCCATTGGCACGTTTGAATTTTGATAACCACAACAAGGATGAGGATCTTCTTGAAGGTAGGGTTTGGGTACCTCCACCACGCGTGCTAGGAATATCATCACCATTTAAATCATGACCAATCTCCATCGAGTGGTGATGATGATGTGAGGGCGTACTCTCAATGGACGTTGTTGAGGGTGATGGTAAAAGGCTTTGGGATGAAGAAGATGGCCGATGATGACTTGTCTTTGTGAACAAGTGTTTTTCGGGTTCAGTGGTGGTGGTTGTCTTCGTTGGGTGTGCAATAGTTGCAGTAATAGAAGTAGTAGTAGTAGTAGTGGTGGTAGCATTACTCGTAGAAAGGCTTATTTCTTGAGGAGGATCTTGATCCGAAACTCGATTGGGAGCATTGGGAGGTAGTTCGCTGTGAGGAGGATAGAAGGGGGCGAGCTTACCACTCTGAACAAGAGTTTTCAAAAGAGGTAATTCCCAAGCACCAATGTCCGAGTAGACTTGATAAGTGGGTTCAAGGAGAGCTTTATCTATTGGAGCTCTTCTAGAATTGTTGGCGTTTCCCATGGTTGGTTGGTGATGATGGTGCTGAGATCGAACAGTAGCAATTACAATGACGATGATGAATAGTGAATCTCACAAGAATGATGATAATGATCAATGAAGACTTGTATTCTTTTGTTTGTGATGTGGCGATGAGGTGATGAGAGATAGAAAATCAATTTCAAAAAGTGATGGAACGGTATTGATGGCTTTCAATCTTCACCTCTTTTGTGAATACAAATAATTGATGAAAGTGTGTTGTAGTTATACGTGATGGTATGCTGACAACACTTGGCGATTGCTTCTACACAAATACACAATACACCTCACGCACTCAACAACCACAAAAGAGATTCTTTTGATTCGATTTTTTTAGAATTGTTTGAACATGGCCCAAATTAGAAACTTGCTCTTTGAATTTGGCATTTGAGATTTTGTAATTCAAAGGATTTACAAGAAAGTGCAAACCTTTCACTTTTATGGCCACTCACTATTATAACCGATGATTCGAAACTCACAGCAGCGTAGCTTGAATCTTTGCTGACAGTCGCATATTTACAATTCATACAAATGATTCACACTCATGGACATTCACGAATCGTCTTCCCCTTAATCCTTCCTAATGACACAACAATGAGCATCAATAATTTTCTTATGATCTGGATTGGAGAGGAATAGAGGATAGCCATGACCTAAAAAATACCATGTCGTCACCTTTGTGTCATTCATTTTCCATTGAACTTGAGATTTTGTCAACATCAATAACATATTTCGTCCTGAGTCGAACAGCAAAATTTCCTTCTCATTTCTTGATTGTTCTATGAATGTTGCGAATGGACGTTCTCCATGTCGTTCCAACCATTCCTTTCCTTTCACATTCTCAAAGGAAGATTGATGTATCACATCTGGTCCAATGACATAATAATGAGCGTCTATCATGGAAGAAGTGTCTTCATGTATCGAGGAGGAAGAACCCTGTCCATGTGACGAAGAGCTACTACTACTTCTCGTTGTTGATTTTGCATCACTTGGATTGGAACAAGATCTCCCAATTTCCTTTCGTTTTTTGATACATTTTGAAACTCCAGCAAAAGCAGGATGGTTCATGATAATTTCAATACTAGAGTCTTCCCAATAGGCCCCCTTTTCTGAGGAGGCACTTCCAAAGGTTGGTTGGTCATCTCCAGGTTCTGAGATAACGAAAAAGCGATTAAAGTTATCGAAGCCTCGTGACATGATTCCACCAGGTGTGTGCGGACAACCAAAACAATGTCCAATTTCATGCATACTTGCTCCCAAACAGGTGGCAAAATTGGCCCAAAAACTCTTCCTGAAACAACTATCATCCCTCACTTGTCTCTCGTCAATGAGTCGTGAGTCTTGCCAACAAGAGACAATTTCATCCACCCGCGATGGATACGTATGCATGGCAACGTCTGCAAACAACCCCAACTTGCCTCCTCCTAAAGCAGTAGCCATTCTTGTCTTTTTCGTGACGGGATCATAGAAGGAACCTCCCAGCACTGCAAAATAGACAACACTCGAGTTGTTACCATCAAATTCATTCAACTCCGAATGCAATGCATTATAGCCATCACAACCTCCATCTTGTTCCCAATTGTTACCCAAACTGGCCAGTTCTTCTCGAGTCCACTTTTTCAATTGCAACACAGAAACGTGAGGCAAACTGGAATCATTCTTCTCAACCTCTAAGGCAAATGTTTTGTCATTCTTCAGTGCCTCTGCGCAGAAGGTCTGCATGAGCAATGCACATACCTGCATCTTACGAATGGCAGCCGACAAATCATTGGATCCTTGACTCTCTTTCATGGAATTGAATGATCCATCGTGATCTTTGCAATAAATATAAACTGGACGAAGACGTTGAATGTTTCTCGACTCGTATTCGGTTGTGTTGATGAGAGTGCTATCGTAGGTGAGAGTCCAATGCAACTGAGAGGATGAAGTGGAGAGATGTAACTGATTCCTTCCGTCTCGAAGAAGGATCAAGGCCTTAAAGTATCCTCCTTTGATTTCCCATTCAGTTTTCTTATTGCCAGGTTGTTGTAGAACGGTGAGGGTTGAATGAGAACCAGAGACCTTCCCGACAAGACGAACAAGGCTATACCCTAGGATGCTTTCGTTTTGATGATTGAGTATGGTGATCGTCATGATGGTGGTCTTAAAAGGTTGTAGAGATGAGAGGGTGGAATAATTCAGAGAGAGGATTTTTTTGGTTGAACTTTTCGTTATTCAGGATTCATGGAATAATGAACTTGATGTAAAAATTCGAGCGGTGGCCATGACTACCATCCAGATCAAATTTTGGATTGGAAATTAGGGTTCGGTGAGCAACCGTAACGGTTCAGTATTTTACCTCAGATCACATTGTTGCAATTCAAAATTTTAATAATCTTGGATTGTTTCATGCAGAATTAACTGAAACAGATGGCGTAGCGGTCTTTCCTGATGATGGCTTGACAAATCCTCCCAACAATCGTCGCAACAGTGAAGAATTAATATTTCCTAAAAAATTCGAAAGTGGTTTTCCGTAAAGAGTCCAATAAACGAGAGCAGTCAGCAAAGAAGCAATACCAAAACCTTTGGTAAATGAGAGACCTCTACTTTTTGTCTTGTATCCGGCCTTCTTTAAAATTGTTTCCAAAATTTGTTCTGTTTCTTTTGCAGAAGGATCCTGCATGTTTGAAGCAAGTTTAACCTTCAAGTCTTCGGAGAGAGTGGCAAACCATTTTTGTACGTCCTCATAGGATTTTGTTTCCATGAAAATTCGGGCAGTGAGGCCTTTTCTCATCTTGACATTCTTCACAAATACATTTGGATTATTATAAATTTCAACGAGTGTGGCAAATGCCATGACTTGAGGGATGGCACAAAAACTGAAAACTTTTGGATCTTTCACTTTGGACATGTATTCGAGACAATCTGGAGCATGGGAAAGAGCATTTGTGACGAGATAGTTGAGAGTTTGAAGGGCTTCTGGTAAATTTTCTTTCTTTGCCAAATCTGTCACTTGCTTCAAGCCAAATTGTTGGAATGAACTGGTTGGATAGAAGGTCCTACCTTCCAAAATATCTTCAGCATAGTCACGAATAATATTAACTTTTTGAAGGAAGAGTCCCATCAAGTTTGAGAGGGATTTCTTGATGTGTTCAGTGGAGGTACCACTCGTGCCTGGCTTGAAGAAAGCTTCCTTATCTTCACCATAGGCAACAAACATTTCAGAGAGACCAATACCAACCAAACCAGCCACATAGTGACAATATTCATCATAGTCCGACATGGTATCGACTCCAGTCATGCCCAAGTAGTTGACCATGCCACATCCCATTTTCATGGTCACATCTTCAATGACACGTTGATATTTTCCATCCAATCGAAGGAATACCTTGCACACATGATGGAAATTCAACATTAAATCCTTATAGTGTCGAGTGGCATGAAGGCTTCCTCCACAATTGTCCAAGTAAAAGTTTGGATCACGAATCTTTTGATAGAATGTTTGTAATAAATGATGCTTGGCAGCAACGTCATCTTTGAGATACTCAGTGTCATCTTCTACCGTGTCGAGACCTCTCAAAACGAGATAAAAGATGACGACCTATTTTGTTGGATTTGTCATATTGACCATGTAATGAGGTCATGGTATGCATACACAGGAACAAGAGAGGAAGAGGAGGGTATGTTAGATTGAGTGGTGTGTGTTTGTGAACATGTTGATGAAATATCATATTCATGAATAACGCAAGTTCAATAAAATTGTTGTGTGTGAGTGAAAGGTTATTATTGAAATATTGCCATCACGAGAGGAAGACCACTTACAGGATGTTTCAATTCTTCTGGAAGCTCCTGAATGACCATTGCAAACGACCTCGATACTTGATTCAACTTGTCATAACAAAATTTGACGGATTCATCACTCCTATCAATTTCAGGAAGCTTGTGGAAGTATTTCAACTTTATCAAGGCTCCCAATTCAGAAAAAGTTTCAAAAGGTAAAAAACCCATTTTCTTCTGGTGTTGTGATGTTGTTGTTCATATACAAAAAGATTACATATCATCCATTCCGAATTTGTAATCCATTCCATGGAGTAAGGAAATTCAATGAAGAGTCGGCGTCCAAAAGATGAATCATCATGTTTATCGGACACACATCATGTGGTTGGATTAGGGTTTGTTGATTTGGTGGTTTGGGTCAGGGCAAGACGACACGAGTACGTACAGTTTATAAGTGTGTGGTGTAACGGTAATTTTTTCGACAGAAAAAAATCGAATTCGGATTGCGAATTGAAAAACGACACTTACCACTCTGTGCTGCCCAGGTTTGTTGATCATCATCATCGGCATTGAAATTGAATCGTCGATCAAGAGAAGAGAAGGCTCAGTATATCTATATCGCAATAGATGGTCTGCACATTTCATATGAAAAGAAGCAAACAGTGAAGAAGGAGCTAGTTGCCAATTCATCATCATGATCATCTTTGTCATCATCATTTGATCGGATCTCTCTTGTTCCGGGAGTGATGATGAATTAGCACCAGTTTCAAAGTTCCAGCTCATCATTCCAATGAAAGGCCTTGAAGAATGAAAAAAACTTGTCTGGATTTGATGATGGCACATCAACAATTCCTTTTTGTTCTTATTGGTCCATATGATCGATCTCAATACTCTAGTTCTTTTCAATGATGTTGGGTGTTGAATCATTCTTGATACGGTCGTGGATGTTGGTCAATAATACAAACGTTTTCTTTGTTGTGTTGGATGAGGGAAGCCCAGATTCTGTTTCCCTAATCTCCTCTCGCTCAGAATCAACATCTTCAATTATACCTGATGTAAGTTCAAGTTGAAATGTATTGTTGTTGTTTGAACGGGACCGCGATAATATCTGCGCCGATCTTGCTTTTCATCAATACTTCAAACGGCCCTCATTTTCACCTTTTTGGTAATTTTTAAATTCCATCAAATTCAACATGTCCAAAATATTTTCTCGAGTGAGTGGACGAAAGCCTCCTCCGTATTCATGATGACGACTTTTGAATTCCTGTCTTGCTGAGGTCTTCCATTAGAAACACAGCTCTGAGCTTTTTGGAACACGTGTATTTTGTGCTATCGTTCACGAATTACACACGTGTTCCAAAGTTCCAGAACATTTTACTGGTTCATTGCATGATGATCAACAGCACTCATCATCACAAGCTGAGCATTGCAAAAAACAAAATACAAGCAGCACTCTTCGACGCTATCACCACAACTATCACCATCATCACGTATTTGACCCAATCGTCACATCACACGGATTCATCCTTAACATACGAAATGACTCCATTCCTTTTGGTTCAACTCTACTATCCGTACATCATTTACTCACTTCTCGCTCTCATCTTATTATATCTTCTCAACCATTCATTCCTTCAAGTGAGAACCAATGAAATTGTATGTGTGGAGCGATTGGGTCAATTCTCTCGAACTCTGAAGGCAGGATTGCACTTTATTGTACCATTCGTTGAACAAGTTAAATGGGTTCGTTGGGTGCACACTGTTGAAAATCCCTTTTCACACAAGACCGAGTTAAAAGTCGAAGAAATGTATCGAATTCCCACTCAGGAAATTTTATTTGATTTTCCAACCTTGAATGTGACCACCAAAGATCGAATTGCAGCCGATGTGAATGGTATCATGTTTTTCCGTATTCAAAATCCAGTGAAGGCAGTTTATGAAATTTGTGATTTGTATCAATCGATTGAACAGTTAATTTACACCTCACTCAGAGATGCAATCTCTAAAATTACATTGGATGAAGCTATTGAAGGTAAATCAAAAATCAAAGATTCCATCGCCGAGGATTTCAAATCACTTGAGGAGTCCTGGGGTGTGAAATTAACCAAATTCGACATTCAATCCATTGAAGCACCTTCTTCCATTGCCAAAAGTATTGAAAAGCTTGTAGCAGCTCAGAGAGAAGCGCAAGCAGAATTGGAGAAAACTCGCTCCTTACAACAAGCGAAACTGCTCAAAATTCAAACCGAACAAGAAATTGAATTATTGGCATGTGACACTGCTAACAAGAAAAAACTCAACGATGCTCAAACAGAGACTGAAATTGCGAAACAAAAGGCAGAATCAGAATCATTGGCAATTCGAATGAAAGCGGAATCAGAAGCTCTCTATCTATCAAAAATTCTTTCAGTGAAAGGAATCGATCAATCTTATTTGATTCAAAAAGAATATACACAAGCAGTTCGGCACTTGTCACAATCTTCCAATAAGGTCATTGTTATTCCAATGGAAAGTGCAAAATACTTTGGAATGACTTCGACTTGGAATGCCAGTACACTAGAAAGTGCAACTCTTCCAAAGGCCACCATGGATGATGTCGAGTGATCTGTGTAATAAAGGTAATAAAATCCTTTCGGCCCTTTTTTTTGTATTGACATTCGACAGGTAGTGACAGTCAGCCAACCTCCAACAAAAAAAATGTCCAAAAGGAATTATGATGTTTGGTGTGGATCGGTCGGGTATGTTCAGTTGACAATTTGTCGGGGAATGGGTCAATGGCAACGTTGTACCGATGTTTGTCATTGATGTTTATTTACATTTTTGGAAAATATGACCTGACAAATTTTTAATAATACATGAACGAATGAAACAGAACCAGCTCTGTTGCTGCTGTCCTTTCATTTCTTTTTGCGATCGGAATGTCAGCTTGGGGAAGTAAGTTTGACGACAAGTTGGATGTTTTTCATCGTCGATCATTCGATTGTTATTACTTTTGAAAAATAATTATTTCCGAAATTGTTTGTTTCAATACCGTTCTGCATATATGTGTTTCGAATTGTTTTCAAACACAGTTGTCATTTATTCGCAATTTTTCGGGACTAAAAATTCTGCCACTTGTCAAGCAAAATCCATGCTTGATCTGTTACTTACGTATTGCATTGTGACCATTGTTTCAGGAGTTTGCAGCTTTGCTTCAATTTTCATGGCCGTTCTAGATGCTTGTGTTTTTCAAGCATCCCAAAGAAAGGTATTTATTATTGGTTGAAACGATTTGCTTCAATATTATATTTATTTTGTTTGTTTGACATTCACATTTCGAAACGATCATTATTTTAACTAATTATACGCATTGGTCATGCATTTCTTTATACTATTTTGGATTTTATTGATAATTTTTGAAAATTATAGGAGGATCGACAAAAATCAAGACCATGTTATTCCATTGCTCAATGTTGCATTGGAGTTATTGGTTGTGCCACTTTGGGACTTTTAATTGCCATTACTATTTTTCAATATGCTAACTCTTGTAAAACAGAACAAACCAAATTGTATGACATGATGCACCCGTTTATAATAACTCAATATTGTGCCATTCCTGTTTTGGGATGTTTGTTGGGATGTTTTGTTTGTTTTGTTCAATGTTGTGTTGCCATGAGATCGGAAAATACGGATTACATTCGTGTGGAAAATATTATGCATTAATATTCGTAAATCATTTGTTATTCAATGCTGGTATGATGAAAGTGTGACTACGATTATTGAGTTCCAGCATGGCTTTATATTGCAACACATTGTCAAACATTTTAAATGTACAAAAATACTCCACACCCAACACTAAACCTTACATTTCAAAACATTTCACTCTATTTATTGATTTTTTCTTTTTGAAAAACAACAACCACACCAATCGTGTAATACTTTCTGGAACACTTTTTTTGCACTCATTCCCTTATAGATATATCTCAATCCAAAATATGCAATAGCTTTGCAAATTAAAAAATACACAATTAGCACTCCCAAATAGACCCACATCATGTAATGTGGATCTGTCAATCCATATGTTTTCTCCAAAAATAAAGTACCATTCGTGTAGTGACCTGTTGGCAATGAGGGCTGTTGTGGAGTGGTTGAATTATCGTTGATCGATGAAGTAGAATTTCCAATTTGCAAAATTACTCCATGAAATTCATTAATCGCCAATGCTTTAAATGCATACGACAAGTACGAGAGATATCCCACCCATCCCAAAAAATGAGTATTTGTCAAACCATACGCTCCACTCACCAATAAAAAGATTAAATTAATGACAGGTGCAATAAAGTTCAAAATACTCGGCGCTGGAATGATAGCCACAAGTGCCTGTGCAAAACTCATGCACGTTAAATTGTAAATTCCAAAAATGAGAATAAATATAAATACTCGTTCCGCATCGTAGCTAAATCCAACCATTAAATAAATGATAATACCGTATATTAATGGATAAACAGTAAAAAAGACAAAGTCTTCGATGGATTTTGCGAGAAAGAAGGCTCCAATTCGATAACTTGTGGAATTCCTTTCTTGTGTCATTTGTGGTATTTGGGAAATGAGTGTCTTGATGCTCAATCCAAACGTAATGGAAATACTCAAGTTGAAGAAGGAGAAAATTTTGCCTCTGAGTGTCATGTTTGTTGGAGCAATTTGAAAATACAGCAATCCGATAAATAAGGCAACAATGAACTTTTCAAAGAAGGGTGAAATAAATTCTGTTTTCCAATTTCTGAACTTGACTAGATAAATTCGTTCCAATAAAATCAACACCGATGAAAAATAGTTGGAGTAATACTTTTCTGTTTGAATGTCTTCAATCTTGTTGTGACGGAATGGAGCTTCTTCGTATTCCTTTTGAGGAACGTAAAAGGTTCGTTGCCGTTTCTCAAATTCAACATGCAAATTTTCTCTCCTCTCCACACTCTCCTTATCGAAATCCAAATAGTGATGAGCAATTTGTTGATCCGTCTCACTCTTTGATTTTGACAATTCATGGAGAAGGATTAATTCAAAAACAGAGGCAACCACATTTTGTCGATTCATTGGCAATTGAACTCCAATGAGATCAAAATATTCCTGTACCATTTTGGGGGTTCCAAAATAAATAGTGCTTCCCTTATTTAAAATTGCCACATAATCAATTAATTCCAATTCGAGAATGGACGGTCGATGAAGACACATCACGATACAGACGCCCATCTCTGCAAGCTTTTTCAATTGTCTCAATAAATGAAACGATTCTCCAAATTCAATTCCATCGGTTGGATATTCTAACAAGAGTACTCTGTGAAAGAGCACATTTTGAGCTGCAATACAGAGTCGACGCTTTTCGCCCGATGAGAGAGTATTAAATGTTGAATTTTCCTTATTTTTCACACCATATGCGTTGAGCAGAATGGAAAGTCTCTGGTCACGTGTGGTCCAAATTGGATTTTTCGAATGAGCAGGTAATTTAAATCGAACAGCAAATCGTAAAATTTCCTTGACTTTGAGTGATGTGTTGGAAGGAGCGTAATCTTTGGAGACAAATGAAACGAGTGATTTGTACTTGTTGGAAATGTCTCGATCGGTTTGTAACTCTCGATTCATGGCTAATTGTCCATTAATGAAAATATCTCCACTATAATCCTTGTATGCTCCTCGATTGGATAAAATACGTAAGAGTGTGGATTTTCCACTGCCTATTATTGACGTCATTTAGTTCATGATATGTTTGTTCATTCGTACGAAATAAAGTATATATAATATGTTCACAAGGTCACAAATGAACAAACATATTACATCACCAAATAATTCATAAATAATATTTTCACAAGGTCATGAAAGGTCATGCATCATGATTCATCATTTTCACGCAATTACATTGTTACATTACATAAATTAAATGGTTCCATTAATTATTGTGATTATATGTGATAATATAATAAATGGTTCATCAGCGTCACACAGTCCATTAAATAATTATAATTAGTAATGATTATTAAACCATTTTATGTCACCATTTCCAATCCTAGACATTTTAAAATTACAATTACTCACCCACTGGACCACAAATAGCTGTAATCTTTCCAGGAACTGCAAATCCAGAAACTTTTTTCAAAATTGGATTCGCAGATTGACTTGGAAATTTCAAATCTTTCCATTCCAAAAAACATTGTTGATCGAAAAATTGAGCAGGATGATTCGTGGCATAGACTCCAATCGGATCCATCGCTTCCGTCGTGGTATGTTTCGTAATGGATGCAATATCATCAAGAGAGGAAGAAACCTCAAAAGTGGAAGGATGTGATTCCTGATGAAGATGATGAGGATGAGCAAGATTCAAATCGGAAGTACTTGCTGCGATTGGATTGTTATAGTCCATCATGGTTGATGAGGTACCCACTTGGAGAGTAGCTTCTAGAGAGGTTTTTTGAGAAGAAGGAGGAACCTCTTCTAACTGAAATGAGTTGACAGTTGTGGTTTCGAAATGATCTTCGGAAGGGACCATGACTTCTTTATTACGGAATGTAGAATTGATATTCGGAGGAGAAGGAAGAGTGTTGTAGCAGGTGTTGGATGTTGTATTTACATTTTCAGGTATGGCTGTGGTCGAGGTGTGCTTGGTTGTGCTGCTGCTGCTGCTGTTCGACATTCGTAGGTGTCAGTGCAAGTTCGGTCAAGTCAGTGCAACAAGGTGCGGCAAATGTGAGGGGTGTGTTTCGGCAATTTTTTAATGAAGGTGCGCAACGAGATTTTTCGCTGGAGTGAGTACTCATAACGATTATGTACATAAGAAGAAGGATACATCGAGACTGTTGTTGTTCTGGTGATGATACATAACATCTGTACTTGTTGCTGTTGTTAGTTTTGTTGTTGGAAGACAATGTCATCGTTGCTAGTTTTGATCAAAAGAGATGTCGTCGTCAGAGAAGAGTCATCGATACCAATAACATTACTGTTTTTGGAGGTTTTTTTACCTTCTCAAATCTTAATGCTCGGGACTCTGCTGAATAAAGTAAATTGACAAAAATATTAAATATTGTTTATTGGCCCTTCGGTGCTTCAATACTTGTCATAAAACAACATTGGACTTCATTTTCGTATAGATACTACTTCTGAATGTCGAATGTTTTTAACAGGATATATCAAATATTAACAGATTACATGCTTGTGTTGAGCAACTGTTAACATGGGTTGAGTCCATGATTCAAACAGAAGGTAAAAATAAAGCAGGGTTTGGGTTTGGGTTTGGGTTTGGGTTTGGGTTTGGGTTTGGGTTTGGGTTTGGGTTTGGGTTTGGGTTTGGGTTTGGGTTTGGGTTTGGGTTTGGGTTTGGGTTTGGGTTTGGGTTTGGGTTTGGGTTTGGGTTTGGGTTTGGGTTTGGGTTTGGGTTTGGGTTTGGGTTTGGGTTTGGGTTTGGGTTTGGGTTTGGGTTTGGGTTTGGGTTTGGGTTTGGGTTTGGGTTTGGGTTTGGGTTTGGGTTTGGGTTTGGGTTTGGGTTTGGGTTTGGGTTTGGGTTTGGGTTTGGGTTTGGGTTTGGGTTTGGGTTTGGGTTTGGGTTTGGGTTTGGGTTTGGGTTTGGGTTTGGGTTTGGGTTTGGGTTTGGGTTTGGGTTTGGGTTTGGGTTTGGGTTTGGGTTTGGGTTTGGGTTTGGGTTTGGGTTTGGGTTTGGGTTTGGGTTTGGGTTTGGGTTTGGGTTTGGGTTTGGGTTTGGGTTTGGGTTTGGGTTTGGGTTTGGGTTTGGGTTTGGGTTTGGGTTTGGGTTTGGGTTTGGGTTTGGGTTTGGGTTTGGGTTTGGGTTTGGGTTTGGGTTTGGGTTTGGGTTTGGGTTTGGGTTTGGGTTTGGGTTTGGGTTTGGGTTTGGGTTTGGGTTTGGGTTTGGGTTTGGGTTTGGGTTTGGGTTTGGGTTTGGGTTTGGGTTTGGGTTTGGGTTTGGGTTTGGGTTTGGGTTTGGGTTTGGGTTTGGGTTTGGGTTTGGGTTTGGGTTTGGGTTTGGGTTTGGGTTTGGGTTTGGGTTTGGGTTTGGGTTTGGGTTTGGGTTTGGGTTTGGGTTTGGGTTTGGGTTTGGGTTTGGGTTTGGGTTTGGGTTTGGGTTTGGGTTTGGGTTTGGGTTTGGGTTTGGGTTTGGGTTTGGGTTTGGGTTTGGGTTTGGGTTTGGGTTTGGGTTTGGGTTTGGGTTTGGGTTTGGGTTTGGGTTTGGGTTTGGGTTTGGGTTTGGGTTTGGGTTTGGGTTTGGGTTTGGGTTTGGGTTTGGGTTTGGGTTTGGGTTTGGGTTTGGGTTTGGGTTTGGGTTTGGGTTTGGGTTTGGGTTTGGGTTTGGGTTTGGGTTTGGGTTTGGGTTTGGGTTTGGGTTTGGGTTTGGGTTT